TTGGGGAGTAAAGCAATGCACCAAGTGGCTTAGCTGTCCTGGAGCTTGCTCACATCCAGTAGCAGCATTAACTGAGCTCTGACCCATTTTTTCCCTGCCTTTTCATTCCTGAGCTCACAGTTCTTGATCCTTAGAGGGCTTTTTGTCCGACTGCATCATATCCTGCTTCTTTTCTTTCAAGAACATTTATAGGCCTCAGCGTGTATGCCTGTAGCATGGAGACTTTTCCTCTGCACACAACATGCATTCCAAGATTAACTGCATTCCTGGACTCTAGGCGTTGTCCTTGGCTTACTGATAGTCTCACACCTCTCTTCTGGCATGCTTGTCCCAGTAGAGTTCATAGAATCATAGAACAATTCAGGTTGGAAAAGACCCTTGGGATCAAGTCCAACCATTGACCCTACACTACAAGGTCACCCCTAAACCATATCACTCAACACATCTAAGCGACACTTGAACACATCCAGGGATGGCGACTCAACCACCTCCCTAGGCAGTCTGTTCCAGTGTCTGACAGTTCATACAGGTCAGTCCTTGACCAGCTGGACATCCCACCAGTGCCAAGGTGTGTTAGTGACTGCGTCTAGCCCTCAGAGCTTTCAGGTCGTGGCACTGATAACCACAACTTTCTGGGGTTCCCTCTCCATTGGTCTGTAAAAACAATCCAACAGCCCAGCAATTATAGTTGATTAACCCCTTCCTTCCCAGTCTCTCTGCACGGGTTCTTCATTTGCAGCAAGATTCAGCCATTGATCAATGGATCCCTGCATGAGACGACCCCAAAGCTTTCCTCCCTTGGTCAGGGTGGTGCCTGCAGGAGGTACGTGGCTGACTGCCACCAGTGCTCAGCAGGTCATGACTGCCTTCCTGCATCCCCCACTATCGAAACCTTGCCATTTGTGCCCAATGCTGTTAGCAAGAAAATATTCTGGAACAACATGAGACAATGATTGACCATGTTTTCAGTGGCTGTTGTAGAGGAGGTAACTAACAGTATGAGGTGAACTCCAGCAGGGATGAATTCCATCCCGTAAGAGTCCCGTATAATCAGTAGTGATAGATCACTTCAGCTGGGGAGTGTTTCAATGAAAACTGCCAGATAAAATCTTTTTGAGAGTCTCAGCTGAGACGTTAGTTCTGTCTTACACTGCACAGAAGGTATTTGTGGGGAGTGTGTGAAGGGGTCACATTTATTTTCACTGAACTGTGATAAGCAAATGTCAAATCACTCCCTTTTCTAGATTGTGGCTGTGTCAATCGTTATTTATTCGGTAAGCACATACCTCAGATGATTTTCCTGTGCTGTAGAGAATAGCACCAAGCACATCATTTTAATAGGGTTTGTAAATAGATCATTAGCACATCTAACCTTGTTCACTCCCACATTTCTACCAATGCTTTATGGAAGGGCTGGAACTAAGGACCAAGGAAGCGAGTTACCAGAAACCACATGTCATGGACTTGGTCACATCCTAACTAGCTCCTGAGCATTTTGTTCCTAGACCACAGTAATGTGACAAAATTAATTTATTTTAAAGAATTCTAGGGTCTTCCATTCTAAAAAATAATCAAATAGATTAATTGTATAAAATCAGTAGGCACTTTTGGAGCTGCTATTTGCTGTAAATTAATTCCTGTTTATTGCTTTTCCATTAGTCATATAATAAGGGAAAGGCATAGAAATTGCCAACATAGCCTTTATGACCACTCTCCGAATTACTAATGAAAATCTTATTAAATATGAGCATACACCCAATCTCAAAGCATAAAATAGTGCACTTACAATTCTTCCTGCTGGTTCACAGCCCACTACTGACAGAAGAAATAGCTTCTGCTAATTGCATTGCCCAACAGAGCTTCTCTGCTCTCAGATGACCTTTTCTTGATCATCCATTAATATTTCACTTTCCATGTGTTTTACAGTGTAAAGTGGCAGCATACACAGAAATGGAGACTTGAAACTGCTGTTTGCAAAGTGTTAGTGGCATCTCTCACAGCAACAAAAGTTGGTCTTTGAGATATTTAAGTACTTGTGAATACCAGCATCTGGATGCGGGGCTTCTCTATAGGAAGATTAATTAGGGAAAAGTATGGCTATCCGAGGTGTTATTTAAGAACTTGGAGCACTGAAGACATCAAAAACATCAGGACAAAAATAAGTTGCAATTCATAGGGAGCTTGGAGGATACCATAAAATGTATCTACGAACACATCAAAAGTAAAAGGGTAATAGAGGAAAGCCCAGGCCTGACACCAAAAGGAAAAGGGAACCAATAACCAGACAATGATGAAAAATTCTGTGATCACTCTGTGTTAGTCCTCCCAGAAATGTAGATTGTGATCTGATGTTTAAGATGATAGATTTAAACAACTGGATCTATATGAATTGGGAAAGAAATATATGGAGTTAGGTGAAGTGGCAGAGTTGTATGTAACCCAGCCTGACTTGGTTCAGGAATTAGGAGAGGAAATCTTTGCTATCATTTTTTGTGCCTGTGAAACTGAGGAGAATGGGACAATTCAGAGGCCCAGGTAGGGCAAAACACAATACCTATCTTTAAGAGGCACAGATAGTAGGACACAATGATTTACAAACTTATCATTTTCATTTAAATACCTGGAAAACATGACAGCAAAATATTATCAGAAAAAAAATAATCAGAATATACACATATGGAAAATAATAAAAAATAACCAAGTGATAGGAACTGCCAGTATAAATATATCATGGCTAAAGATGTGTCACACTAACCCAATCAGTCTTAATTGATAAAGTAGAAGTAACAGATCAAGCACATCTGGGTTTCAGTGAAGTCTTTTGTATATCCCTATATTCCCTTGTGCTGAAATATGAATAAATAAATTCACAGAAAAATGCACCATGGGTACAAGTGTTCTGCTCTGCCTGGAAGGGCTCAAACAAAATAAGATTTCTAACCAAAGCATTTACATTCTACAGTAGTTGCTTGCACCTGGCAGATGAAAATAGGACATAAATCAGAATATTGGCAATGCTGCATAGCTGCATTGCAAATGGTGTTTGCTTTCAGTATAGAATAAATAAACCTGTATCCACTAGACCTAAAAGCTCCAGATAACCAATGTCACCAAAAGCACAGGTCACTGGACAGGTGTTTACAATATGTAATGCTGCGTACACTAACCTATTCTCCAAATGCTGGTTGAAAACAATCGGAAATCAAAAGGATATAGATGACTCAAGGTTGAGGTCATTCTAACAATGACAAGTTTAATGAAGAGGCAAGATGGAGGATGGAGATATGTTCCTGCAGTTAGATATGGGCTTGAAAAGCTTAGGTTTTGGAAGGATGGAGAAAGAGAATATTTATGTTGTTACTCAATATTTATGTTGTTACTCAATTTATGCAAATATTGTCCTTTGTTCAAGTTATGAAGTATTGGAAATGTGTGTTGTTGATTTTTTGGTTTGTGCTTATTAATCCATTTTAGATTACCTGGTCTTTCAAGGTTCTCAGTCCCTCTTGCCCAGTTTATTCAGTTGACCTGTCCTGCTGACACCTGTTATAAATTTTACAGCACTGCCTTTACTGTACTTACTAAAATGTGATCATCTTTGGTTTGCTTCTCAAGTACTATAGTGCTTAATTAAAACTAAGTAGACAAAACATGACCATCATTTTTCAGTAATTCTGCTTCAAACAGCCAAACGTCTATATGCATACTCAGGACTGACACTTATCAACCAACAAATCCAGTGACCAGAGCATGAACGAGAACCCTATCCTTTCAGGAATTACAAATGTGTCCCCTTTTTACTGCCAAGCTACCAACTGAATCAAACAAATGTCTTAATTAAAAACACATCTGGAAAGCTTCCAGTCAAACCATAATATAAACAGTGGTATTTTAAAATCTTGGAAAAGCCCAACAGTATTTCTGTCACCCAATGCAAAGACTTATGTCAGTGCAAAGACTTACACAGATCTGGGTAGAAAGTCTTGTATTTGAATAATATCTCAGCGTTCATTATCTGAGAGCATAACAATAAATTAACATTTTAACAGTACTGAGCAGATGCTGCATGTTCAACTTTTGTTTGGTTTTAGTAACATTTTAGCACGTGTCTGGTGTTTATGCCCATAAGTAGCTCCCTCTAAGTCCCAGTAGAATATTTACAGTACAGCACCTGGTTTGCAAACTGTGCCCTTGCACCCAAATTGGCTCCCTGCAGCCTGACTGCCAGGAGGTCCTGCCTTACACGATGACCACCACCTTTGCTAAACTGCCAACCCACCCACTGCATGCCTATTAAAATCAAGTTCCTTCCCAAAGGTTTAACCATTTTTCTCTTCTGCAACTTGCTTGCAGAAAGAGATTGTAACACAGAGGCAGAAGTATACCTGTGATTCCAGTGAGATGAGAAAGGCACGCTGCTTGCAAACCCTGATCCTTGCTCCTGGAGCTTTCACTATGCAAACTAGAGGTGCAAACTCAATGTCTGCTGGGAGTGTCATATATCTGGGAAAAGATACGGTGCTGTTTGTAGAGGAAGTTCCACTGAATTCCACCCAGTTTTTAGGAAACAGAGTAAAATGTTGAGGGACATGCCACAGAACTAGCAGCTTAACAATGAACAACATGGGACTCACAAGGTACATCTGTCCTTTAGGAGACTATGGCTGTTGATACATAAAAATGAGAGAGTAAGGAATAATTAAAGAATACTTGCTGAAACTTGGCTGTAGCTAATAACAATTGATAAATATTCTCTTCAGAGAACTGTTGATTTGTCCCCTCTGTTTCACCCACTTAAAATTGGTCCACAAAGCCCATGGCAGTTTAGTCTGTGAAACTCTCTGCAAGTATGCTGGGTGTCTATGAGAAAGCGCTCCTCTTGAAACCACGCTTTTTAGAACAGTAGGAAGAACAAAGCCAGATTTTCGTATTGTATCTTCTGCAGCAATTAAATCAATGTAGCAACTTCGTGTCACCTTTGTCTTTTTTTCTACACAGATATGGTTTCCATCACAACTGAAAACATTACACAACTTTATAACATCACGGCCACCCAGAAGCTCACAGTCAGCCCCACAAATTTCCACAATAATTCAGGAGAACATCAGCTGAATCTATATGAATGTGTTAATTCAGATATATGGAAATGGCTGCAGGATTTTCAACCTGGATTCCTCTGGTTTGTATTTATTCTGGGAGCAATAGAAAATTCCTTTGTCCTCATCGTCCTGTGTTTCCACAAGAGCCGCTGCACAGTGCCCGAAATTTACCTAGCAAACATGGCACTTGCTGACCTCATGTTAGTCTGTGCTTTACCTTTCTGGGCCATTAATATTTCTAATATGTTTCATTGGCCTTTTGGCCTGTTCCTCTGTAAAGCTGTTAACATAGTGGGCAACATGAACCTTTATTCCAGCATCTATTTCCTCACACTAGTGAGCATCGACCGCTATCTGGCCTTGGTGAAAACCATGTCCCTAGGACGGATGCGACGAACCGTCTGTGCCAAATGGAATAGCTTTGTAGTCTGGACATGTGCCTTGCTCATATGTTCACCTGCAATGGTGTTCCGAAATTTACGCTATTATAAAGAATACAACATCACAGCCTGTGCTCTTGTTTACCCAGCCAGCTACTGGGAGCCTATAAACAACTGCTTGCTGAATATCGTAGGCTTTGTGATCCCACTCTGTGTAATTACCTATTGCACTATGCAAATTGTCAAAGCCTTACGAAGCAGTGAGCTACAAAAGATGAGAGTGGTCCAGACAGAGAAGAGAGCCACCGTGCTCGTCCTTGCTGTGCTCTTGCTGTTTGTTTTTTGTTGGCTTCCATTCCAGATCACCACATTCATTGACACAATCCGTTACTTCATGCCCACTTTCAAATGCCTGGAAGAAATCAATGACATAGTGACCCAATTAGCTACATACTGTGCCTTCAGCAACAGCTGTCTGAACCCAGTTCTGTATGTAATTGTTGGGAAGCACTTCCAGAAGAAGGCTGTGGAATTCTACAAGGACTTGTTTCCAAAGAGGTGCAGAAAATCACAGTCTGTGCAGATGGAAAATTCCCTGGACACTTTAAGAACTTCTATTTCGAGTGAATACCAAAGGAAAAAGTCTATTCTCCCATTACCACGATAGCACAATTTGTTCATTACAGAAAAAATGCCTTCTAACATATCAGTCTCCACCAACTCCCATCTGCTGCTGGTCCACAGAATAAATATGTGGCAGTATTCGTCATTTGTGGGAAGACAATTGTTTGATCTTAATGGAAACTCCGCATAGAGACCTGCTTCTAACGTTATTGGACATTTTTCATGACCAAACCCTATTTTGTAGCATATTTACATTTTGATGGCTAAATAATATTTGATGCATGCATCATTTGAAATGTTTGCATTTCTAAGATACACATATGTGTTTGTACAGTTCTCTGAATACAGCTCCAGTAGAGAAGTTCTTATCAGGATTGTGCAGCTACTTATGGTACCCATACAGTTTGGTAGACTAGATTTTTGATAAAAGGGGCTCGTGTTTGAGCAAGTTCTGGTAAATAAATCCTGTGGGAATATTATTCAAATAGATTCTTAAGTGTGGCCATCTCCTGGCCTTTTACGCTCTCTGTTCAATCATCCAAAACTACTTTGTTTGATTGACAAGATTGGACTTTTTGCAACTGCTCTTCACCTGCTAGTTGCAGGTTTACATCAGCTTGTCTGTTATGGAAAGTAGCTCAAAAAAAGCAAAACAGCAGTGGAAGGAAGTTTGCAGCTGGCTGCATGCAAGTTAGCTGGGTTTTCTTTGTAGTGGGAGATTACCCATGCTGCATTGGGGTAAAACCATTCTCTTTCTCCTTTTGAGTGAGCGAATGTTATTTGCGTCCATACCTATACTTCAGCTCAGAGACTTAGTTTTAAATATTCACAAAGCATAACTAGTATTTGTAATGTTATTTAATGAAAATATAACAGCTCAGCACAACTGATAAAATCTCACAGGTGGAAGAAACTGAGAATATGGGGAAGGATATCACCTGACTGCCTAAGAAATCTAACTGAAGCTAATAGGAGTCTTGAAAGTTCAGAATATTCAAGAATGGCCTTTTTCAGACTCTAATAATACCTAGGTTTTATCTGTAGAGTTAATCTGAATGATTTTACCCAAGAGAGTCTTTCCACAGTTGGACTGGATTTATGACCTAAATTGAGTTTACACAGATGAAAAACTCATAGTGTACTGAATTGTCAGTATGCACTTTTACTTCCAGGAATCTTGACCAAAAATTGAGTTGGAGATGAACTAAAATATTCTGAAACTAAAAGAGCCTTTATTCTTTTCAAAGCCCTTTAGTTTACAGCCTTAAAACCACCAAGAGAAATGGAGTTTGGTGACATCAGTAAACTTTGACTGCGACTGCTTGGTCTTTATTTATCAGAGCTTGAATTGAGCAACAAAGTTCCATTTAAGATGTGAAATTTGTATTAAATCTTCAAGTAATTAAACCCCAAAATGCTGTAGACTTGTGTGGATGTGCTAGAAAAACTGTATGATTTAGATCACTGCAGATGATCTATAGACTTTCCATAGGTTTTCCCTAATAATCCACTATAACTTTATGTCATAAATACTCCTATTGTTCAGTCTTTATATTGTCCAAGGTATCTACAACGAAACACTGCAAGCCTTTCTGTTATCACCGGTGTTATCAATATAGTCTCGTTCACAAACATGTTGCTCACACAATCGTTAAATAAAGTGAACTCCTTACAAAGGTTATCAAGGTAACAGAAGATATTTTTGAGTATTTGGTACTGAATATGAAATATAGAAATATTATTATATTGATATGACATTAATTTAAATAATGTAAATATCTAGACACAGTATTTTGCTATGTAGTAAGTGTGCACAAGAGAAAATAAACTACTTTAAGAAATGAGATTTGCTGGAATTTTATTCTCTAGCCCATTTCCTATTACCGAGGAACAACTTGTAAGAAGTGCAACTGTCAAAGGTACTTTTTTCACTTCCCTTTGTACCGAAGGAAATTGAGTTGGAACGATATAACTTTAGCTACTTCCAAACTTTGGGTCAGCTTTCTTTTCAGGGCCCATTTCTGAGCAGTGCTGAATATACTTAGTCCTCTTGGAAGTTAAAATCTGAATTAAGGCAGCTAAGGATAGTGAAATCTTCTCAGCAGTTTTTCTCTGCCCTCTGGTATCTCAATGTCCCAGGAAACAGCAGATACAACTTTTCTTTGTGTGGACCTGGGGTATGCAAGGGTTTTGCAAGATAAACCTTCTGCCTGAAGCCTTTACTCCTCTCTCAAAGCACCCAGACTTCATCAGGCCCTGCACCAGCCTCTGCAGACCGCAGAATGCACAGGGTCAGCCCGCCAACAGTTTCATTCATGGTCTTGCTCACTCTGCAGCACCATCACACACTGCACAACATTCACACGTACCATTTATGCAGGTAACAAAAAAACCTAAGAAATAAAGTGCCATTTCCAAACTCTGGCTTACCTATGGGCGGTTTACAGTCACACTCAGATACTTGGATCTATCGCATTCTTACAAAAAAAAAAAAACAAAACCGGTAAAATACAAGTTCAGAAATACAAGAAATACAGAATTCTTGAGGCCGGAAAAGACCTCTGAGATCACCAAGTCCAGCCTATAAAAAGAGGGCAGACTTTGTCCTGAGGATCTCAGAGCTGGAGATATCAAACTGTAATTACATCCCCTTTCCCTTCCTCTTTATCGTGCCTCCCCCTCGCAGCTGCTCCCATCTTCCCTTTCACCTGAGGCTGATACATCTTTTACAGAGATTTTGGCCAGGTGAGCATGTTCAGTCCCACAGAGGTGGCTGGGCACCCCTGCCTGGTGGTGCTTCTGGCCTGCAGTAGGTACAGGCAGGAATAATTCTCATCTTTTCACCGCCTGTTTTTTTCAGGTCGATCATTGGCTTCACTTGCAATGCAGAATTAATTATCTTAAAAACTGTTAGCACAAACAGCTGGTGCTTGTTGTGGATGGGACAAAGTTGCTTTTTTAAGGCAGGGTTTCTGGGGAGAAGTCAGGATCTCAGATCAGGCATCCCAAATCTCTAAGCAGTACTTTAGCCATTGAGTTATCTTTTCGCTCTGTTCTTCCATCAGCACATGGGGGGTTTCCAGCCTATATTGGCTCCTTCATACCTTGCTGTTTCAGCTTCTGTAAACTATAGTTATTAGGGCTTGATTGTTATTGCACTGTGATGCTACCAGGATCAGTTATGAGGAATAATAAATCACCGCATCACAGTTTAAGTTCTCCTTAGCAAACACTGTCTGTAAGATACGTAAAGAAATCTAATCAAGCTGAACAAAGGGTTTTGCACCACAAAGTAACATCTAAAAACATTTCTCCAGTTCTAGAATAGTTTAACAGCTGTGTCACATAACAATGTTGATTTGCAAACCATTTCAGCAAAGAAAATCAAACTATTACGTCATGACGCCCCCAAAAGATCATTTTCTCAGACCATTAAAGGCGCTGGCTATATTAAGAGGAAGATTTTAAGTGCTGAATTGTTGGACAAAGATCCAGAACTCTGGAGACCTTTAGGATTTCTGCCATTTGTCTATCATGATATAATGTGTAATAATTGAGCAAACAGTCTTACCTCTGCCTTCACCAATATATTTGTTTAATCTTTCTCATCAAAAAGGTCCACAGTATTTGTAAATTCCTATGAAGCTCTAGAGAATGTGTACTTTTTGCAGGAAAGTCAACATAGACAGTGTGGCTGAAGATCATATAAGCTAAAAACATAAACTGATGTGTTGTGAGTATCCTGAGTTAAAGGCACCAACAGAGGGATATGTTTTTATTTTGTATACGCAGCAAAAAAGCTTTTAACTGTTGAAATTTATATAGCTGTTTTTAAACTAATCCTGCACATTCTTTTAATTTGTTGTCCATTACATCTGTACAAACTGTAAATGATTACTAAATCATTATGTGCTTTCTACAAGTTGAAATGAAGACCCATGTTGCAAAGAAATAACAAATTAAATCCCTTTTTCATATAAAGTTACAGCTTCTCAGGTGGACTTAAATTGTTTAAGAGCTGGAGCTACAGCAATGCCTGTTCATTTCACTATTTCCGCCAGATACATAGAGTCCCAGTTTTGAATCTGTCTCCACTACTGAAAAAATTTCTAAAGATGACAATGAAAAACAATGGAAAATAAGAAACTAGATTTACAAAGAGGAGCTGGATTTGCAAACCAATATTTTGATCCCATTTTGAAGTGATGAGTTTCGTAAGACTAGGTTATTTACCGTATAAGCTTTAGATGCAGCTGCAGTTTTCTGTTCAGAGTCTGTGAGTAAATGCTGCTATTAATGACTCCAAGAGATTCACGTCCAAGCAAGGATAAATTCCAGACTTCTTGTTATTGCTCAAGTGTTCTTCTTTATGGAGAAAAATAACTTAAACACAGAAATGCACTAGCGTAAGCAAAGAGGAAGTATCGGAAAGTCTGTGACGAAGATCTCCTGTTGTATTACACTTACTTACCTTAATGAGTCAGTGTGGAATGTGTGGTTTCTAGATTGATCTCCTGCAGGTTATTAGGATTCCTTAGATAACATGTAATTCCAAAAATGTTGTGTTTCAGGTCTTCACCAAAATAAAGGTTTTGATCAGGTTATTAAAAAAAATCATTTTGACAGAAGTGAAACATATAGTTTCATTTGGGATGTATTTTTTACACGGTTTCATTTCTTTAATAAAATAAGTAAATGTTTAAATAGGATAATGTTTAAAAAAAGAGAAATATTTATACATTTTAAATCTTAAATTAAATGTTGGGATCTTTAGATTTTTCTCCAGTGTGATAGTGTTAAACAGAATAATTTTTCAAATTTGTCATTTTAACCAGTATTTGCATAACTCCAACTCAGTATCTTTTTAATGAATAGAAATTTGGAATAAAAGTATTTATTATGATGATAGGGAAGTTCGTAATAAGATATCACTGTTCAGCCTTGTATGGCTTTTTTCATTTTAACTCGCTTATCAAACAACAATGGACACAGTCGAATAAGAATTCAGAGAGATGGTGCATGTGTTGGGTAGGCAGCCAATGGGAAGAATGTTTTCATACAAGTAAATAACATTCTAGTCACCTGAAATTTCTCGCTGTTTTTTTTTAAAAAAAGCTGAACAACCCTGTTGTTTACATGTATATACTTTAGAGAGATTTGTATTTAGAATCTGAGATGCATCAGATCTGATTTCTTTAAAAAATATTGCTCTAATCAAAGGATAAGCAGAATGAAAAAATAGGAAAATGGTTTACAAACAATTAGTCCCAGTAAATAATCAGATAGAAAGAAGACTATTCATGGGTGCAAGCCTCAGAAAATACAGCAGCCATCAGGCAGTCACAGAGACTCCTGTCCTGGACACCTATAGTGAGTGCAAAAGATATTGTTTTTCAAAAACAATGGAGAGGCTGACATGGGATTTAGTGGGTCCATGGGATTTAGTGGGTCAGCAGCCCTTCCCATATACCTGTTCCGTTTGAAGCCCGGATCCTTGGCATAGTCCTGCCCCTAGGCTGGCGGAGGAAGGAGTTCCCACCACAACAAAAACCCACTTCAGATTTTGACTTTGTGTGCCTTAGCAGTGACAGGGCAGTTCAGAGCTGTTGATCAAATTCTTATTGTTAGGGACATAGTTAATCACACAAAGGAACTTTTAATTGCCTAGGACCTGTATGTGAGAGCTTTGTTCAGTGGTCACATGACAACAAGAGTCACACCATATGGCTTATATGAGAATAAAATATTTCACATGCTTTGAAAATTACCACAGCTGACATTTGGAGAAGGGGAAAAAAAAAAAAAAATCCTGGGGCTTTCTTCCAAAACGTAACATCATACATATCGTAAATGGCCAACAAAACACTCAGACAGCACTCAGTCACTCGGTCGTGCCTCAGGATGCATCTTTGAGTTTTCTCAGTAACCTCTGTACTGCTATTTACCGACTGTTTCTGAATTTGAAACTTCGCCTAAATTGCCAGGAAGGACAAGGAATAGGTATGTCTAACTGTTTTCAAGGTCTCACATTTATTAAAATTTGCCTACTATTTATATAAAAGAAAAATCTTTGGTGCTCTCAGTTCTGATCTGTTTGTCTCTGCTTTTTCACTGTGAAACTAACTCTGAAAGTCAGGATTAGTTCTTACGATTAAAGCCATGATTCATTCTATAAAATATCTTTACAGGTGAACTTGCTTAGCAGTTTGAAGAATTTTCTTTTTCAAAGTAATCTTTACTTTTATGATTGTTCCTAAACTTTAAGTTTTACTTATTTAGTGTTTGCAGAATACATGATCCTAAGTGAGTAATATGTATTAATAGTATCAATAATGGTGATAAATTCACTGTAAATGGAAATTAAACAGAAATTAGTTCAAAGTAGGGAAAATATATCATTATTTTCATAAATAATGACTGGAAAGTGTTAAGTACATAAGTTGAAAACTATTCATGTGGCTAATTGTCCATTAGCACTAATTATTTAAAAATACTTACAGAAGAAAACTGCCTTTGAAGGAGAAATTAAATTAAACACCTGAAAAGGAATTGCATTTTCTGTCAAGAAGACAATCAGAGCTCCAACTTTATAAAAGGATTGTGGCAGTGCTTGGAAATGGGCTAGCAGACTCTAAAGAAATTTTCCTAGTTACAAACTCTGCAGAAACTTCATGTATAATTGCTAACTGAATGAGAAATTAGATTTAGCTGTGGCTAAAATCTAAGTTTCAATGGAATATAAATGTTCCTGAAGTTTTTTAATTTAGTCCCTAATGAGTGAATTTGTGGTTCCAGCCCAGAGATCACATCCAAAGTGTGCACAGTGTCTGGCACAAACTGACAACAAGAAGTCATCTGAAAATGGGCAAGCATTTCTTTTTCCTCTGTATTTAGTAAATTTAATAATTCTGTTTACAGAAGAAAATGTTTAGCTGTTAGCTTTCTTCTACATCATTTTCAATATATAATGTTGCAGAATTTTCTTCCATCACTCTCACGCTTTACGCAGCCTCCTACTACAAAAAGATTAAATTCCTGCAATCTCACAAACAGCCTCTTTGATGCTACACAGCCACTCACTTGCTCTGTATTTCCCTTCTGCCATTTTAGATCTTCTCAAGTTTTCTTAGTTTGCAGGGGATGTCAGTGAACTAGATAGCATTCAGCCTGGTGTGAGGGAAGGTGTTCAAAGCCAGAGAGCTGTCTGTGCTAATCTGAGTTGTAGCCCAGTTCCCTGACAAGATTGCCAGCTCGAGTAGGTTTATGAACTCAGGTAAAACTTTTCTGCTCACTTAATTCTGCAATGATGAAAAGTGTTCTGTGCATCAAGTACGAAGTTATGTGATGTGGAGTATTAGTACTTAAGTAATTACTGGAGGCATCACAGAAATAAGTATTGGAAGCTGCTCAGATACAGACATCACTAAGGCTGTACATATCTGTAAAAGAGATGAACTATGGTCCTAAACTGCAAATTACTGTTCTTTTTAAATTCATTCTGGTTTATGATTGGCATGCTCCACTGGATATGAAATACTGAAATGTTAAATGTCACCACAGGGTCAGTAATGTTTTGTCTACCATAATGATTCTGAGACTGGATGCCTGTAAAAAACACCACTGTCAAGGTGATCAGACACTGGAATATGTCACTCAGAGAGGTTATGGAAGCCCCCTCCCTGGAGGTGTTGAAGGCCAGGTTGGATGGGACTTTGAACTACCTGGTTCACCCTCCTGTGGCAGGGGTGTTGGAACTAAAGGATCTTTAAGGTGCCTTCCTAACCAAACAATTCTGGGGAAAAAAAAAAAAAGAAAAAGAGATCCAGGCACTATGGTCGAGCATGACAAGACCAGGAGAAATAAAGTCACTGCAGGAGGCAGCTCTAGCAATCCAGTCTATTTTCACTGGAGGATAAAGTTTTATTCATGCTCTCATTCCTGCACAATCTTGCGCAGAGTTACCAGAGAGAAATAAATGTATTGCCAATGCTATAAAAGTCTAAATGCTTTGGAGGCCGGGGCTGCCTCTCTCCAGCTGAACTCAAATGAAATTTTTGAACTGCAGAAGAGTGCTGTGAATTTGGAGGTACAGAAGCCATCCCTCCAGACAAGATTTTGGAGGAGCCAATGTTTTACTACTACAACTACTGACATTTGAGGGCAATAAACTGTCTAATCTAATGGTAATTTTGAACCCAAAGTTAAGAATGGGAGGAACTGAGAGGGAAAAAAAGAGTGCTAAATTAAGCAAAAAAGTGGTGCACACAGAGAATAAGTAGAATTCCCAGTTCTGGGGAAATGGGCATCATGCTGCTAAACTTATACATAGCATGGAAAACAAGAGTAAGAGAAAGGGCAGGGAGAAGAGAAAGGGAAGGGTGCAAAATGGGCTTTGTGCCACCAGCATGACTCCCGCTACTCTCAAGGAGCTGGAATTCAGTTATGTCTACACTGAATTGGCACTTTCCTTCCTCTGTGCCACTTTAAACAATGGCTGTAAAGAGAGGAAATTCCATAGGATTTAGGGGAAGTTCCTTGCCAATACCGGGGACGTTTCTCAGCAAAGCCTGCACTGGTCTAGCCTGTAATAGTCAGTGAGCACTAATACAGAATCTCATGCAGTTAAATGTTTGTTACAGCTCTGGTGGGAGACAATTTTTGGCATTTTGTGCTTCTTTTCTGCAGTCACCTTCTCTCATTTCAAAGATATCTCTTGTTCACTTCAGAACTTAAAAAGAAATGACTGAAACTCCTCCACTGAATGTTGCCTCCTCAAACCAGAGTGAAAACAAGAGCAACTCAACTATATGCCCGGATTTGAATGACTGGTGGGATATTGTGTACTATTTAGTACCTAAGTATATCGATACCGTCTGCATTATCGGAATACTTGGAAACATATTTGTTCTCTTCACTTATTCACTGCACAAGGGCCCCCTGAAGATAGCTGAAATCTACCTTATGAACCTAGCTGTGGCTGATCTTGTCTTCCTCATATGCCTCCCATTCTGGACAGAGAACATCAGGAACAAATTCAACTGGCCGTTTGGCAATTTCCTTTGCCGCAGCACCAGCGCATCCATCCGCCTCAACGTCTACACCAGCATCTACTTGCTAGTGGCAGTCAGCGTGGATCGCTATTTGACTTTTGTTCACACCTTGAACCACAGAGAGATACGGAGCAAAACCATGGCCAAAGGCATCTGCTTCGTCACCTGGTTCTTTGGCATCTTCCTCAGCGTCCCAATATTTACATTTCGGACTGTGAAACACTTTCCCTTGTGGAATATTTCAGCGTGCACTTTAGATTTCCCCACACCATTGTGGATAGCAGCTGAAAGGCTGGTATTCAACACAGTGGGGTTCATGTTGCCGTCTACAGCAATCATCTTCCTTAACTTCTCTACCATTCGCTCCCTACAAAAAAAAGCAAGAGTACGAAGAGCACTCAGACCAGAAAGTCGCAAGGATCACAACAGCGCAAAGGCTACCATGCTGATCTTCACAGTGGTACTGATGTTTCTATTGTGCTGGACTCCTTACCAATTTTTTGTATTTCTTGATGTATTATACCAGGCAGAAGTGATCAAAGGTTGCTTCTGGGGGGAACTGCTCAACTTTGGTGAGCAGTTTGGTTACACCCTGGCTACCACCAACAGTTGCATTAACCCTGTGATTTATGTGTTTGTTGGGAAATACTTCAGGCAAAAGGCTTTAGAAGTTTTTTCACAGTTTATTCCCTGTGGGTTTCCTTTGAGATGGGTATCATTCAAAGAAAAGTCTTCATATTTCAATGGGCTTACAGTCAGGAGTAGTTTAACCTAATGGTTCTCAGTTCCATTTTCATTTCAAACGGCATTAAAAATGAATATGAGTTGCACTGATCTGGCATTCACAGACTAAGCTAATTATTTATTAATGTAAATCACTTGATGCTTATTTGTCCTCAGGTTTGCATTTCTTTTTATGTGTTATCCATCTAAATGCATAACATGTGATACCAGAATTTTATACCAAACGATTTAACCTGTCTTATCATCAGTGACTTGAAAGAAAATCTCTTTGACAAAATATCAAAAATCTCATTTATTTACATAAGCCATTAGCTAGCTGAAAATTCAGCCAGCTTATGTCTTATCCTCATGTAGTTATCCTCAGCACACTGTATTTTATCTTGAAGATAACTACTTTGCCACCAATAACACTGTATGTAAAATAATAACAAGTATTACAGAGTAAATATGAGTTTAGTCTTCAGCTGATAACTGAAGTCGAGCAATTACAGAATAGCGCCACTTATTTTGAACAATATTTTAAATGATTTGCACTTTCATGACAGGATACTGAAAATCTGAGTAATTTTGGGGGCATTTCAAATATATTCAATGCATAAATATTGTACAAAACAATGTACCACAAAGAAAGTCCACGAGCTGTAAAAAAAGCAAAGCAACCTGGTATCCTCAAAATTTGACTTTTTTTATTCAGTAAAATGTTAAACAATCACTCATCAAGTACATAAAGATTCTTTTTTATATTTAAAAATATCAGTGATGGCCACCAGTACTGTATTATTTTGGAGTGTCTTCCATCTGAGACAAATCCTTAGATACATATTCATATTTTTATGAATCAAAATTAATTAAACTGCATAATATCCTATTTTACACCATAGTCTTGTTCTTTGTTACATTTGTATTTTTCTCTTTCCA